TTGAGTCCCAAAGTGTGACATTTAGGAATATGGAAATCACCCTGTCTGTCAAATGGAGATTGGGCTCCATTCTGTTGGGGAAACTGATTTGGAATGTCAATATTCAGTAAATAAACCTGCATTTGTGCCTGATGCAGTTTTAAATAGAAGCTTATTCAATTCCAAAACATTGTACTGATATCACATTCCGTTTTCAAATACATTCTGTCGCTTCTTTTCATTTAAAACCAAATGACTGTAAGTTGTTTTTGGAGAGTCTTTGGAGGTCAATGGCTCATCTCACCAGCCATGGTTAAGCTAACACTGCTTTTCCTGGAGTTTCTCTGCCGGCCTCTACTTGCAGCATTAGTCCTGAACAGCCCTAACAAAAGCCTGAAATATTAACAGGACAAAACCCACTTACTATGCACAAAACGATATTGAACATCAGAATAAAATATGCTTAAAAAGGAAAAAAAGTACTTCCCTCCCCAAACCTCATGGAATGTTAAAAATCAGTGGGAAATATGATTTGTGAGTTGGGTGGTGCTGTTTGAGTCTTCAGTGATGAGAGGAGAAATTTAAAATTCTCAAGTTATTTTTATTCATATTATAATGGTTTCATTTGAAAGAAAGAATATGTGAAACAAATGGGAAACCTATTGAGTCTTATCTGATCATTTCCAAGTGACTTAAAGACATGCACTCTGTCTTCCCTGCATCCACTTGGGCTTTTCATTGAAGTTCTTGAAGACTGAAAATGTCATCTTGTTTCTCTCTTAACAGTTTAACTCTCCCAAACCTCTTCACTGCTACATAACTAAAAAATAAATATTTTCTAGATATATTTTGTGGTGTACACTTCATTAGGCCACATTCCAATCTCCTGAACATGTCCCATTTGCATACCTCATCTGCAATTAGGAAAATACTATCAAAGGGTCATTACTGTTACATACATGAATATGGTATTTTGATTTAAATTGACACAAACACAGAAGACATTGGACTGCAGTGTTCTTTGCTCAATTACAACTAGCAACCTTGATTAGGGAAAAAATAAATACTCTCCAAGAGAGAGAGTAAAGGCTAACTTCAGAGGGTTTTATATGCTAGTACAAAAATGGCAGATTGACTCGTGGTCCATGCAAGAGCCATAAACAGAAGGCAGGAGATATAAAAACATGCAGAAATTGAAGGTTCTTTTTTCTCCTTTTCTTTAAAAATGTTTGTATATTCAAAAGTGAAATATGAATCTTCTGCATAAAACTTGAAGGTGGGATTTTTTGGGGTCTTACAGCATCAAGGGCCTGGCCTGTTACTACTGATCTGTGCCCAGGTCTCTGTGTTGTGCTGCTTTCCAACTCTGTTATGCAGAAATGCAGATGGTTCTACTGAATGAAACTGAAGTTCCACCCCACATTGTTTCTTAGCAGTGAACTTGAATATGGGCACTGATACCTGACATTACCTGCTGGAAGTTCTTGCATGTTTTTGTCTGCTGTTGAAGGTCATCAGCATCCAGAGACAAGAGTATGTGTATAATTATGTTCTAAGGCATTCAGACAAGAAAATTGGGATATCAAAGGAAAAATGGAAACACTTCCAAAGCTGAATACACTCAGTGTTGTTTCCTTAACTTATAATACTATTCTACAATACAAACATTAAAGTTGATTGTGTATTGAAAACTTTTAAGTTCCTTAGTTAAAGATCAAATAGCGAGGAAGAAAACACTTGGGAATACGTTACATAAGGTAGAAATGTATTCAGGAGTATTTAAGACATACTGCCAATGAATTGTGAGCTCTCCATAGCTACCATGTTAGGTAACAGGTTTGTTGCTCTATTAGTTACAGTCGCTAGCACATAATAAGAAGAAAAAAGGCAATTTCAGAAAGTAATTTAGAGGCCTAAGGGAAAGAATTAAATGAAACAAAATAGCTGTCTTGTGTGATTATACTCCATGCCTTCAAACTGTTAACATTTTCACTGAGTTCACAAGTGAATATGATCTTTTTTTACATTTTGCTTATGCAAAAAAAAAAAAAGATAATCTAGAACTGCAAACTATATTCAAGCATCTTTCAGAATAATATTAACTGAAAGGGGGAAGACCTATGGAATTTTAGCATGATTTCATAAATCAAACGAATTCGCTAGATGTAGAGGGAAAAAAGTTCTTAACAAGTTACAAAAAATGTTTAACCATACAGTACAGAAAAAGTCTATTAAAAAGAAAAAGTTATTCACTGAGGTGGCTTCTAGTGCTTTATGTATTCTCTATCTCTGTTTTCTAGTCCAATACTTGCTCTGTAATTGCTAATCCAGCAAAAAAATCTCCATGGAGTTTCTTCACCTTCTTTGGGAAAACCTCTTGGCTAGGCTGAAAAGAAATCCTTCAAGTATTCCAAAATCACCTACAGATATCAACAGCGTGGAAAGAGAAATTTACTTAGTTTGGCCAAGAAGAATGTAATAAATGGGGTACACCTCATTTGTTTGGAATTTATTAATTGTTTAATTAAATCCATGCTAAATGGAAATTATTAGATAAACTACAGAAGCTAGAAATTAATTCAAAAACCGTGAGCTGGGTGAAAAGAGCTGGCAAACCAGAAAAAGACTGAGATCTCAGGATGAAATGAGAACGATAGTGAAAACAGGTTATTAGCTGGGTTTGCATTGACTTTACACACTATTTCCAAAAAATGACCAAGGCAGGAGTCAGCTAGTGACATTTTGAGTGATCAAACACAGATAAAAAGCAAGTACAGGAGGGATGAGTAGCAAGAGTGCTCTTAACTGAAGACTTGGATGAAAATAAACATTTGGTTTTTTAAGTTAGTCATGGGAAAACCACAATCCACAACAGGTTAAGGTTCTGGGAAAGTCAGTCACTGTCCTCAAGTGTGTCAGGCACTGCAAGTCCCATAGACATAGGAAAAACTTGCACCTTCACAGCATGCCCCCAAGACCTCCCCCAGGGCACCCAAAAAACTGCTTATCACTGTTCAGGGAAGATGCTTTCAAGATGTCAGTAAGGGGGCGATCAGGACAAAGAAGGAGGGAAGACTGAGTAAGCTTCTGCTCCCCAAGAGCACATCATATGGGAGACAGCTGAAATCAGGGAACAAGGAAGGTGGGTTTGAACTACAGGACATGGCAACAATTAATATATAACCTATAGTCAAAGGGAGATGAGCCTGGGACATGACTATACAGAAGAACAGGCAGGTACCCAGCCTGCAGTGCTAGATTTCTCATTGAGATCTAGAGATGGAATAAAGAAAAAAATTCCTCATCGGTCAGTAATTGTGGTTGATCACTACACTTTTGCTACATTTTCACAGCATGTGGGATTGATTTTCTTGCAAACTTAGCTAAAACTGATGAAAAAATACTGCTTCTATCCAAGCAACTGGTGAGGTGCAACAGATCACTGATAAATGCTGCCTGACACAGTGGCTGGTGTCAGTAAGGAAATGCTTCCAAGTGTCCAACCAAAACCTCCCTGGGGCAGCTTTGAGCCATTCCCATATATCATATCACTGGGTACCACAGAGAAGAGCTCAGCACCTCTCTCTCCACTTCTCTTCCTAGGGAAGCTGTAGAGAGCAATACGGTCAGCCCTCAGTCTCCAGGGAATCTTTCCATCACTGGAGGTGTTTTAAGGAAAGACTGGATATGGCACTTATTGTCCTGGTCTAGTTGATGTGGTGGTGTTCAGTCATAGGGTGGACTCAATGATTTCAGAGGTCTTTTCCAACCTCATTGATTCTGTGATTCTCTCCACACTGAACAAAAGGCACTGTAAAAAAACCAAAAACCCCCCAAAAGACAAAAAGCACTTCCTGAATTGAGTGGCCCAGAACTGGACACAGTACTCGAGGTGTGGCCTACTCAGCAGTGGTGAAGCCACATCTTGAATCCTGTGTTGAATTCTGGGTCCCTCTGTTCAGGAAGGACAGTGAGGTGCTGGAGCAGATGCAGAGAAGGGCAACAAAGCTGGTGAAGGGTCTGGAACACAAGTCCTGTGAGGAGCAGCTGAGAGAGCTGGAGTTGTTTAGCCTGGAGAAAAGAAGGCTCAGGGGTAACCTTATCACTCTACAACTTCATGAAAGGAGGTCTCTTCTCCCTGGCAACTAGTGACAGGATGAGAGGACACAGTGTTAAGCAGTGCCAGTGGAGGTTTAGGTTGGACATTAGGAAGAAATTCTTCACAGAAAGGGCGATTATACACTGGAATGTGCTGCCGAGGGAGGTGGTGGAGTCACCTTGCCTGGAGGTGTTTAAGGCAAGAATGCACATGGCACTGAGTGCCATGGTTGACATGGTGGTGTTTGGTCATAGGTTGGACCCGATGATCTCAGAGGTCTTTCTAACCCGATCTGTGTTTGTGTGCCCCCGTGTTTCTGTGTTTTGGGATCTGTGACTGTCTCCACCCTGACGAACTGCACCGTGAGGACCCGGGGGGGCCGCCCCCCCGCTGTGCAGCGCCCCTGCCGCGGCGCGGAGGCGCCGCGGCCCGGCCCCGCCCCCGTCCTGCCCGCCGCGCCGCGCACACGTGACCCGGCCCGCCTCCCGCCGCCGCGCCGCCATTGGCGGGGGAGCCCGGCCCGCCCCCCGCCCGCGCCGCCGGCCCCGGAGCTGCCGAACGGTGAGTGCGGCGCGGCGGGCCCGCGGCCCCGCCCCGCCCGGGGGCCCGCCGCGCCCTCCCCCCCCTGCGCGCCGCGCCCGGGCCTTCCCCTGAGCGACCCCGCCGCCGCGCGGGGCGACGGCAGCCGGTGCCGCGCGGGGGAACAAAACCGGCGGCCCGCGCACGCAGGGAGAGAGAAGGGACGGCGGGATAGCGCCCGGCCGGCGGATGAATGGGCGGGCGGCGTTCCCCCCGGCGCCGACAGGGCCGGGCAGCGCGGAGCCGGGAGCGCCGGGCCCGCAGGCACCCGCTGCCCGCGGAAAGTTTCACAGCGGTGCCGGCGGGGCGAAGGGGCGGGACGGACACGCTGCCGGATCCGCCTTCCTGGGATAGCGAGTACGGCACGGGACGTGTCCCCGCCGGGACCAGGCCCTTCCCTGATGACAGAAATAGCTGCCAGGAGCGGCTGCGTCGCACGTGGGAGCAGGGAAGCAGGTGCAGAGCCAGGGCTCACAACGTGCACGATTCTGGGACGCATGTCCTGGGAGGAGCGGCTCAGGGAGCTGGGGGTGTTTAGCCTGGAGAAGAGGAGGCTCAGGGGTGAGTGATCTTATCACTTTGCAACCATCTGACAAGAGGCTGTAGCCAGGTGGGGATCGGCCTCTTCTCCCAGGCAACCAGCGACAGCATGAGAGGACATAGTCTCCAGCAGCGCCAGGGGAGGTTTGGGTTGAACATTGGGAAGAAATTCTTCGCAGAAAGGGTGATTAGATGCTGGAATGGGCTGCCCTGGGGGTGGTGGAGTCACTGTCCCTGAAGGTGTTTAAGGAAAGACCGGATGTGGTACTGAGTGCCATGGTCTAGTGGACGTGGTGGTGATCAGTCATAGTTGGACTTGATGATCTCAGAGGTCTTTTCCAATCTAATTGAATTCTCTGGTTCTGTGAATTGTTTATAAGTGAGGAATATAGAAACTTTGGATTTCATTTTTCTCTTACGTCATCTCCCCTTGAACCCCATTTGCTTTCAGAGCAGTGTAAATGAAATTCTTACCCTCATGTCACCAAGATTCTCAACCTTAATTCACAGTTCCTGACTAGATTAAATACTCTAGTGGGTCCAGTGGCACTTCACCAGCTCAGGTTCAGCACTGCAGCAATAGCATTTCTGGGGCCGTTTTTGGAAGCCATGTATGTGGAATTGTGAACTTGGAGTTAGAAATCCTTGTCAGAATTACATGGAGTTAATTTTTTTCTATCCCCAGTCTGTCATAGGTACATTGATTTCACTCTGCAGCTTAGACTGTTATTAGATCTTTTGTTGAGAACTAATATTATTCTCTTGATGAAGAGAATTGTCAGTCTCATAATGAAGAGCGAAATCTTGCAAAAGACCTCCAGTTCTGGCCACTTTGTTTCTTAAATCATTTGCATGTGCATCAAGTATTGTCACTTTGCAACTCTCCTGTAACCTGAACGTTTCCTGAAAACATGGAACCTCATAATATAGCCATTTCATTCCTGGATCTGGTGTCTCCCATATTCTCAGCATATCTTAGCATTCAGTGGCTGGTTGGGTCAGGGTGTTTGTGCCTTGTTTAGGTGTGGTTTTAAAGACCTGGTTCAGCAATTGTTGCTCATGGAACTTAGCCCAAATAGATTGACTGTTAGCTGGGAGTTCAGATGTGAAGATGCAGTCAAATTCCTGTGGACGCTTCTGGATTAGCAGGAGCATAGTGCTGGCTGTCCTGATCATAGTGCATTGGAAGCGACCCCCATACCTGCCATGTGCATTGTGAAGCGCCTGCTCTGCCACACTCTGGGGATGTTTGTGTGCAGCTTCCTCTGGTAGCTAAACTTCTGTTTGCCAGTCACAACACAGGGATGTAGCTTCAAGAGAAGCACCATGCTGCCACCAGACTGCCATTTACTTTTTGGCACTGCAGAACATGTCACTTTTCCTTTTGCTCAAACACAGCAGTAGTCTGGATCTGCTCCTGCTAGCAGAGGCAGTGAAGCAACTATCCAGCTTTCTTGTGCTGGGAACACACTTACCATTGGCCCTCTTCACTGATAGAGGATATTGCTGATCTGGTTGCCTATACAAAACTTCCAAGGCTGATGAAAATTAAACAGTGATCCTTCCTGTGCAGGGGCTGATATAGGGAAACCAATGTAGTTGCAGAGCGTTGCAGAAAATCACAGGGTTTTCTTCTGGAGGGTTTTCCCAGTTATGGTGGTGTCATTGATGTGTGTTGCATGTCCTCTGTCTGCTTGAGTCTCACCAGGCTTGATTATTTATTGAGAGGAAAAGAGTTCTAGAGCCTTCTGCCAGTGAGAACCAAGACAGCCTTATCTGAGCAATGATATGATGGACTACTTGTTGCTGTGTTCTGAAATTCTTCATGGAATATTAAAAGCAACCTGTAATTTTCTGTGCTCGCAGGCAGTCTACATCTTTAGATTTGAGCCCTGACTGCTTCCCTCTCGTGCTACCTCATGACAGTTACAGCTTAACCTCTGTAGAGGAAAAATGCAGACATATATTAAATGTTGCAACACTGAGTGTAGAGTGTGTTTATTAAAAATTATCAGGAATGATTGGTAGACTCGTAGCTATGAAATTGGAATGAAATTGAGAAGTGGACACAGGTTGTTCGCTGCCAGAGTCAGTGTTGTGCCATTCCCTGTGTGGACTCGTTCTTATATGTAATATTTCCTGTGCATTTCTTTTTTTCCACGGGGAGGTTTCTGAAAGGCTGCAGGAATTATGGCTTAATCTTTAGTGAGATCCTTATGGAAGATGGGATGTGGAATCCAGGAACTGTTTCTGAAGTGCCTGTGTGTGTTGACTGGGAAGACATCAGGAGATCTCTCCGCTTATGCATTAGCTTAGGACACTCCTATTTCTCAGTCTAACATGAGCTCAACAGGGTTTTCTGATGCTGTTTGACTCAGCTCTGCAGTTGCCCTGCAATATATGTAACCAACTTTTGGTTGATAAGTTTGCATTTATCTCATTGCCTCTGACTTCTTGGGTGCTTCTGTCTGCTAAATCATGACTTTAATCTCTTGGGTGCTGAGCGCCAAGCAAGAAAATAGTGATGGTTGTTCTTTTCTAGGTAGATAAGTGTCCTCATTTCCAATCCTTTCCCCCTGCTATTCTTCTGTTTTTCCTGTGATGGAGAAGATTATGGCCAGGACTGCAGTGTAGGGGACAAGGAACTGGTGTAAGGATCTTCAGCATCTCTGTGGAGCGAGGAGAGAGCTGATGGTAGGAACCTTTGTATGTAGGTTCTAGACGTATGTAGGTTCTAGACGTGTGAAAGAAGGGGGGGGGATAGGTGGCTGATGGAGCAGGAGAGACTGGTGGTCCCACCATTGAGACTTCTGTATCTCTTCGAGCAGCTTTTAATGTGAATGATGGCCATTGATTTGTGTCACTTCAGGTCATCTAAGAGCTGAGTTGGTGCTGATGCTGTTACTGTGCTTGACATCTGTGGATATAGTGAGCTTGTAGACAGAAGCACTTATCTGTTCAGGTAGATTTCAGTGGAAAACTTCATGTCATAGGAAGACTCTGAATGAGTCTTGGCTGCCTTAAGTTTAGTATTGCAAACTTCAGAATCTTAGTTGAATCATAGTATTTCGTCTTGAACTGGAGGCAGGATGCAGACACAGGACAAGCATAAATGCTGGGCTTCAGGCTTCTGCTTCGATTGTAATGTGTTCTCGGAGCAGATAATTAGTTCTGTTTGGCTGCATCTGTATTTGTTTTCTCAGTGTTGCAGCCATGAAAAGTGAGAAAAGTAGGAGGGGATGCAGAATGACCAATTAAGGAATGCATTGTGCTTTGTGGTGTTGAAGTGGCATGCAGCCTCAGCTGTAGCCACTGCTGCACTGCATATCCTGTAATTGAGAGTTTGTGTAGGGGCGATGCTCAACTGTTCTTTTTACAATATATGTATGGCCTGGCAGAGTGTTCAGCAAAACAGAGTGGCCTGGGGCCTGCACAGCAGTTATCTATATGTGCATGGGTGGCAGCTTCTTTGTTGCTCCCAGGAGTATTCAGGCAGGCCTGAGACATACTCTAGTGGCCATCTCCCTTCTGCTTTGTTTCATGGGGGACCTGTTGCTCATGGCAATTTGATCTTCATCCTGAAATTCGTACTCTTCCTCAAAGGGCTTCAGAAGGCTAGAATGATGTTTGGATTAAGTACTTGGTCCCATTCTCTACAGTGCACATGGAGCACCCTGACAAATTGATTACACCAGTTATTTTCTTTACCCTTTTTATGGGTTTGAGTTGGAGCAGTGCAGATCTAGTTCCCTTTAATGTCTGTAGTAGTTCATTTACACTGAGGGAGTGTGGTCCATCTCTCTTAGTGTTGCCAAAAAGATGCTGCTGAGCACAGATTCCATCACAGTTCATGCAGGTCCAAAGCCATGGAGACCTGGTTACTGAGCATATGCTTTCTAGACTGGCTGGCTCTGCTGGTGTGGAACTGTTTAGGAAACAGTGATGTGTTGTTCCTTACACTTTCACCCAAATACAGGACCTAGTGCAGAACAAGTTCTGGTGCAGGAGTAGGCGGCAAAGAGCAGTGTGAAGCAGACGTTTATCTGTGTGATAAACCTGAGTATAGAGGAGAGCATCAAACAGAGCCATGTAGAGACAGTGGCATTGGAGCTCAAAGAGAGAAGGGATCAGGAGGGATTGACAGGACAGTCTTTCAGACTAGCTGTTTAGATATATGCTAAGTGAACCAGCAACATCTCAGAGTTCATTCCTTCAGAAGTGTTTCAACAAATTTAAATTGACAGCATGAGTTAGTAGTAGCTCAGTGCTGTTTAAGTTTGTTACTAATCTCACAGTAACTATTCTAAAACTAGATTTACTGTTCCATATACTCATGGCCTAAGATGCTGCAGTAACAAAGAATTGTCTTGCTCAGTAGTATGCCTTAAATAGATAGAGATTTCAACAGAAGAGGCAGTTTCTTCAGTGACTGCCAGCTACAGTGGGCTGAAGTTACAAAACTACAAATGCTGAGTGATGGCAGTGTGAGAGCTCTTTAATGTTATTTCTTATGTTATTTTTTATGCCAAAGGCTTGAATGTCAAGACCTTTGGATGTCTGGGCTGTGCCTGTAACTTCTTTGGTTCCAAAATACTCTTGTGGTCAAAAAAGCTTAGCAGCAACTTGGACAATTTTTGGAAGGGAGCCAGGGACTCTTTCTCACTGCTGTATTTGGAAAGAAAATGGAAAGTTTCATCATAAGGTAAGATAGAACTGAATAAAAGGAGAGGATGGGAGATAGGGAGTGTAGTTGAGTGAATTACAGAAAACTGCAGAAATGGCAAAAGTTAGGTGATGTGCAAAGGGGAGGGAAGTTGTGAAGAGAATAGCAAATATTGTCTGGTAGACTTTGTTGTAAGCTGTGGTAAATTCAATTTGGAAAATCCTTTTTTGTTTTCTAGAGAGAAGAAAATGGATAATTCAGGATTACCATCAATTTTGGAATTGACAAATTCCCTTTCAAATCTAAAAATGTGATTAGTGCAGTATGTCCTAATTACGTTCTGCTGTGATTTGGTAAAAAAAGCCTCCTTTTTATTTACCTTGTATAAGCAATTCAGAATTTTTGGCTTCCAAATTGAAATCTTCCATTCCTACCATCGTGCCAAATCCCCCAAACAAAACATACACTGTAATTCATAAAGACTTGAAGGTCTTTTGGAGTGTTAAGTAAGACATGACGAGCTTTGGGTTTTTACAATTGGCAAGTTATTTGCTCTTGCAGTTACAGACCACTGTACTCTATCTTTCTGTTTTGTTTTGATCTTTTACAGGAATAAAAAGTTGTTTTAAGACTTCAGGAAGTGTTTCATGGTCAACGCTGAATGCGGTATGGACTACATTTTGAGGTGTCTTTTGTATGGCTGCTGGTAGCACTGGGAAACTGCAACTTACACCCCGAAGGTCCTCCCACTTCAGTGTTTGTGGAGCAGTGCACTTCTCATGTGCAGCTGGACTGCAGTTGGGTGCTGTGCATTTGTCTCATAGTTGTAAAGTAGGATCCTTCTTAAAGCTCTGTCTGTGGTCCTGCTATGTCTCCCAATTGGAAATCTACCTGTTCCTGTGACTTAATGTGAAGTGTGTATGCACACTGCATGCAAAGAAGTTGTTCCATGAGCAACTGAGCTAGTGAACCTTTATTTCTTAGGGATTTGTGTCCTCTGCTTCTCAACCTGTCCCTCTTTCTTGTTTTTTTTTGCTGTATCCATCTCATCCTTTAGCAGCACTGCTAATTTGCTTTCATTCTGTCCCTGCCCCAAACCCAAAGCATCTCACTGCTGTAGTATTTTTAATTGTCTCTTTCTCCCTAATTACGAGCTGAATCAGACATTGCTTGTTCTGCGTGTTTTTGCATACTGACCATTTGTGCAGAGGCTAAACAGAACCAGGCACTGTGAAATGACATATTCGACTGTAGCCTCAGTGGAGGCATTGCTTTCATTCTCTTCTCAGTTCCTGATTTTCTTGAAATGTGTAGAAATGTAAAACAAGGCTGGATTGCTTTGTCTAGTTTGATTGGCGTTGACTATAGGGCAAAGTGTTTGTGTAAGCCTCATTTCCATGAGAAACAAGGGTAAAAATGCCTTAGGAATAAATTAAGGAAACTTGCTTGAATGCATATTTTTAGATTTGTTTTTAGTCTAATATATATTTAGACAGGAAAATTAGTGTTAAAATGACACAAAGATTTTGAGTGTTTTGAAGCAGTGTGTCTTACAAGACCCCCCAAAATTACGTTGATGGCTTAGCATGATAATCATGTAACAACTGTTTAATTTCAACTTAGAGAAAAAACCCTGTTCATTTCACTTAAATGTCCAACAATATGGTTTTCAGCTTATTGTAGTAGCTGATCCAGATAAATTCTGTTGGAAATAGTGGAATCTAGCCAAATCATTAAAAGACAATTGCATTTCAGATGCTGCATTTCTGGGGGGGGTTGTGTTTGTTTTTGGGGTGCTCGTTTGGTTGGTTGATTTATTGTCGAGGTTATTTTGTTGTTAGTTTGGTTTTTTTTAAGGTCTTACAAATGCAATAATTTTGAGAAATTCTCATCTTTCTCTTTGTAGTGAGGCAAAAAATGCTTTTGATACATAGGACTGTCAACTACACCAACTGAAAAAAACACCCTGTTGTTTTTCTTAAATAGTATTTTTGTTGTTATTAGGGCAGCAAATGAAATAATGGAATGGAAACGATTCTTTTTATAATGGATAAAGTTTTTATGATCAGCAGCATTTGTTTTTCATGTAATTAGTGAAAGGAAAACAGTGTTTAACAGATGAAAACAGGGCCTAGGATTTAGGCTGCTGTTTTCTTGAATTTTTTTTGTCTTTGTCAAAAATTGCTGATTTGTTTTGAAATTTAATGATGAAGGTGTGTTTTTGAAATGTCTTTATCTCAGTGGCAGTATTTCAAAGGACTTTCTGTTTTCAGTTTACGTGTGTAATGGAGAAAGCAAGTCAGGTTTATCAAGTGAAATATCACCTGGGTTCTTTTTTTTTATCGTTTGCTTCCAGATTTTTTACAGAGGTAGGAAAGCCTATTATTAAATATTAGCTTTGTTTTTTTCAAGCTCAGCTGATGTTAAATGAATTCCAGAGTTGGAGACACCTATGTTTGTATTTCTTTATGAAGTTGTTAGTACCTGTGCAAAACTTAGGCTTTCTAAAAAGAGGTGTGGGAGGGGAAGTGCACCTGATTATTTAGGAATGACAAAGAGTTGAAATTAACATGGACAACTGACTATACAGATTTTTTCCTTTATTGCAGAAACTGAAACTTCCTCTTTAAAAGGTGCAGTGCTGTGAAAACTGTTACTGACCGTAGAAAAATGGACATGTTGCAGATACTCCGTAAAACCACAGAACGCTTAGAGTGTGACCACTGCAGCTTCAGAGGAACGGACTATGAAAACATACAAATTCATATGGGTACCGTTCACCCAGAGTATTGTGACGAAATGGATGCTGCTGGTTTGGGTAAACTTATATTTTATCAAAAAAGTGCAAAACTGTTTCACTGCCACAAATGCTTCTTTACCAGCAAGATGTATTGCAACGTGTATTATCACATCAAAGCACAGCATGCAGCACCTGAGAAGTGGAATGAGGAGCGGAAGGAACAACGGGTAGAAGGAGATTCAGATTCATCCAAAAAAAGTGTCACATTGGAGCCACAGAAACCTACCCTTTCCCCTGAGTCGCACAAACCTGCCCTTTCTCCTGAACTCCCCAAATCTGAACCTGTTGTTTCCCCCAAGCTTCAGAAATCTTCTGCGTCTCCAGAGCCCCAGATATCTGCTCAGGTGACTTCCTCAGAGGCAGACAAGTCAGCCCAGACTGTATCCCCAGATCCAGAAAAATCAGCCCAGGCTACATCTCCGGATCCAGAGAAGTTAGCCTCAGCTGTGTCCCCTGATCCACAGAAGCCATCCCCACCTGTGTCCCCCGATCAACTGAAGCCATCTCCTGCTGTGTCCCCTGACCCACAGAAGCCATCTCCTGCTGTGTCCCCTGACCCACAGAAGCCAGCCCCAGCTGTGTCTCCAGAGCCCCGGCGGCATTCCCCAGCTGTGTCTCCAGAGCCCCGGCGGCATTCCCCAGCAATGTCTCCAGAACCCCGGCGGCATTCCCCTGCTGTATCACCAGAGCCCCGGCGCCATTCTCCTGCAGTGTCTCCAGAACCCCGCAGATATTCCCCAGCTGTGTCACCAGAGCCAAAGAAACCTACTCCAGCAGTATCCCCTGAACCGCGGAGGTATGCCCCAGCTGGGTCTCCTGAGCCACGGCGGCATCCCTCCCAAATGCGTAGGCCTGCTTCTGCTTCTCCTCCTGAAACCCGGAGACCTGCTTCTGCAGTTTCACCGGAGTCATGGAGACCTGGTCCGACTGTTTCCCCTGAGCCCTGGAGGTCTCACGAGGTGCAAAAGTCTCCGACGGTTTCTCCCTGGGCTCCAAAGCCTGCCATGTCAGTGTCCATAGAGTCCCGGAGGTCTGCCCCTGAGTCTCGAAGGCCTGGCCCTGTTGTGTTGCCAGAACCTAGGAGGGTTGTTTCTGACTCGTGTAAGTCTACGTCGTTTTCTGAATCCCAGAAGTCTACTCTTGTTTCTTCTGAGCCATGGAAACCCATCTCATCTGTTTACCCTGAAGGCTGGAAACCTGTTCTGTCCCCTGATACATGGAAGCATTCTCCCCCTGTTTCTCCTGAGCTTCGAAAGTCTAGTCACACTGTTTCCTCAGACTCTTGGAAGCCTCCTTTCTTTCCTGAGGTCCGTAAGCCCGGTATTTCAGTATCTCCTGAACCTTGGAAACTCTCTGAGTCACGGAAATCTATGTATTTTTCTGAAACTCAGAAATCCACCTCTGCTGCTTCGTCTGAGATTCAGAAACGGGCTCATTTCCCTGAACCTCGGAAGAGAGTGCTGTTCCCAGAGTCTCGTAAATCTAATCCTACTGCCTCTACTGATGTCCAGAAACGTGCCGTCTTTTCTGAGCCCCAGAATCAAATATCTACTTCTGCTTTTTCTACCGAAGGTCAAAAACAAGCCCTGTGTTCTGAAACCCAGAAATCAGCTCTTGTTTCTTCTGAAGTCCAGAAGCACGCCCTATTTTCTGAAGCCCAGAAACTTGCTCCCATTTCCTCTGAAGTTCAGGAGTCTACTTCCTTTCCAGACTCTCAGAAATCCACATCTCCTGAAATTCAGAAACATGGCCTCTTTACTGAGTCCCAAAAACCTACTCCTGTTTCTCCTGAGACACCCAAACAAGTTGTTTTCACTGACTCCCAGAAATCTACTATTTCCCCTGATGTTCAAAAGCACGCTGTATTTTCTGAGATGCAGAAGCCTGCTGCTGCTTTATCCTCTGATGTCCAGAGACATGCTGAAACTACTGTACCTTCTGAAATCCAGAAGAATATCCTGTTTTCCGAGCCTCACAAGTCTGCTTCAGGCTTTTTCTCCGAGCCCCAAACACCTAGTGAGTCTGGCGAGAGTGACTTTCTTTCTCACACTTTAGATGATCAGAAACCACTGGATGACTTATTCTCACAGGATGAACAATCATTATTAGCCAAAGAATCACCAGAAGACATGCTATATTCATGCCCAAAAAAGAAGCCCAAGAAGGAAAACCAGAACTCAGATTCTGAACTAAATATCAGTGAGTGTGGAAAAACAGAGTTGGACTCAATGGAGATAAAGGAACAAGAATCCAACAGTGACCAAGAGCAATATGATATGGAGTCATCTGATTATGGCAAAGAGAGCAAAATGGATGCAACTACTCCCACGCAGCCACAGTGTGTGCTGCAGTTTACTGAAGAAAAAGAGGCTTTCATCTCTGAGGAAGAAATAGCAAAATACATGAAGCGTGGCAAGGGAAAGTATTACTGCAAAATTTGTTGCTGTCGTGCAATGAAAAAAGGTGCTGTCTTGCACCATTTAGTTAACAAGCATAATGTTCAAAGCCCATACAAATGTAAAATATGTGGCAAAGCTTTTCTCTTGGAGTCTCTTCTTAAAAACCATGTTGCTGCTCATGGTCAAAGTTTGTTGAAGTGTCCCCGTTGTAATTTTGAATCAAATTTTCCTCGAGGCTTTAAGAAACATTTAACCCATTGCCAAAGCCGTCATAGTGATGATGCACCTAAAAAACACTTGGACAACCTTGAACCGCTTGAAGAACAAATTTAATCTTTTTTTCTCCTTGTGCTAGAAAAGCTAAATTTACAGAAGTGTTCAAAGTGTTACTGTATGTTAACCAAGTAGTTTAGCTGATCTGACAAGTCAGAAGATGCATGGTTTATTGTGCTATGTTTACCTTGTCTTTTATAGCTGTATTACTGAAGAGATTTACTTTTGAAAGTCATTTTAAATACGTGTTCATGTCTTTGTATTACCCATCAGTAGAGTCATATTTTATTTTTCAGATGTACTATGTTTTTGAAACCAAAATGGATACAAAATAGTTTTGTAAAGATTTGTAAAACGTATAGGCAATTAAGGACTGGAATGGCAAGCAATCCATATTTTCCTGTGAAGACAACTTGTTTTTTCACATTTGTTAAATGTTGTATTTTTCAAAATGTTTTTATCAAGTTCTCAAATCTAAAATTCTCACTAAATTGAATGTGAATGAGCCAGGTATGAGAAACTACCAGTGTCCTGGAATAATGATGCCCTGACGTTGTAATTGAGTGTATAGTCAATTGTTGGAAATTCATTGCACTCAATTCTTCGACTTGTCTCAGATTTAGAAGCATCAAGGTACCTATTTTGTGATTCTGTGTTTTGGCCATGTTTTAAGCATGTACTAATATACATTAAATTGATAGATTAACGTCAGACTATGTATAGCTCAACACTTTCTCTTGATGATTCAGATGTTTGTAATGTCAGACAACCTCTAATTTTCTTGTATTTGGTGAAATGTTATGCTTTAATGTTTTAACAATAAAAAGAAACCCAACCTGGTGTTAGCCATTTTCCTTTTTGTTTTTGTTTTTTTTTTTTCAAATCTAGAATGAAACCTTTCATGTTCAACATATTCTCTTCTAAGTATCTTTGGCAACAAGAGATGCAGAATTACTGAGGAGTTCTGCTCTGAATGCTTCAACTTCCCGGTCATCAGCCTGTGAAAGAAGGGTTAGTCTAAATTTCATGTCTGTTTTAGAAAAACACATCATATGTAAATGAAGGAAAACGTGCAAAACAAGAATTTGTGCATTGTTATTTAGCATGCTGTCCTGTGTGATTTGCATATTATCTGTTAAAAAAGCACAAGTACTTTATAATTCAGAAGGAATACAGATTTTAAGTGGAGGTATCACAAGGAAGGTTTAATTCTTTTCAGGCTAAATTATGCATATACTTAAGGTGTTGTAAGTATTGGTTTAGAATATGAAGGTGTTAGTGTTAAATAGTAAAAAAGTCTTAGAGTGTAAGCTCCCATCAAAGAGCTCTAGGTTGGTTTGACTGAAGACGGTACTTTATTCCTTTTGTCTTTCAAGTGTTCTGGAAGTATGGCAACAGGTATTTAAAGCTCTGTACTTCAATGATTTCTCAGCACTGCCTATTTAGAGAAGGAGTTAACTTCCTACCGTGTCCATAGAAATAACTTGAATGCATTCTGTGACTTACTAAAAACCAACAGAAATAATTCACTTGACAACATAGAATCATAGATTCATTCTCTACTTCCTAACTATTAGCAAATACTATTTCTTGCAATGACAAATAATGCACATTGACGAAAGTCAGCATAGTGAAATAATTTCCTAACTCTATAGTATATCCTTAATATATACTTGAGTATAACACAATATTCAACTTTCAGATTCTCTGAATTTTTAAAGGAGGTTACTTTAATAGGTAAGCATATGACTGAAAAAATGCTTCTGTATGGACTTTTAGGCAGTTTCTTTTATACATTCCCTATCCTTGGAGATAAATCTTTTCTCTGTATGCTTGGAAGGATGCAGGTTTCAGTCACTTTCACAAAGAATGGATGAGGGAAAGTACAAAATGAAAACAGAATAAAGAAACACCAGAAAGATGTTAGCTGTGGCCATACATGCTATACGAACTTACCTTCATCTTTTTATTGTAAAAAGAGGTTAATAATTGTATGGAATGTCCAGTCATGTTTTCAAAGTGCATTTTCACAAGCATTCTCTCAAACTAAAAGTAGTCTGTAGAGAACACATTTCATATTTGGGAAGAGATTCTTGCAATTACTAGTTTCAGTAATATTTTCTCTTATTCCAGCATACCTAAGAGTATCTATATATATATATATACACCTGGTATACCTGTCTAGGTATACCTGTATGTTACTTAAGCTCTAGGTCAAAAAATCATATAGAATGTTACCTAGAATGTGAACTTATATATAATGGTAATGGTACTGGTTGGTGTTATATTAATGATTAATTGGGGGGGAGGAAATATTTTTAAAATCTGAAGACCATTTAGGGTTCAGTGTTTAAAATAAGAATTATGGACTTCACAATTGCCTATTCTGAGAAAGATTATAAGAAGAATTAAATTTTAATTCATATAGTAGAAACCAAGTCAAAGGAATTCTTGCTAATTTGTTCAGGTTACAGAATCTGCTGGGAACTTGCTGGTTTTTTCTTGTGTTGTTGATTTAGTCTGTTGATCTGACTTGTCTTGCAACTGCAAGTGCTGGTGCAATGGAAATAAGTGTGAGGGGAACATTTCTTCTGAAGGTAGAGGCCCAAGTCCAGAAGGGACAGTGAGCTCAGGTGGGCTTATGGTAACTCAGAAACTGCACCCTCCATCACAGACATGCTAGCTAAGTTGCTCATCTGTGATGTCTTGGCAACTCAATTGCATTATTTCTTCACATCTGCCTCTTACCTGTCAGTTGTCTGCTGGGTTGGTCTTTTCTTTCGCTGCCTCTCTACCTTTGTAGTCTATGTTACTGAATGCTCCAGGCAAGATTCTTCTTAGGCCTCGTGAGAGAGTGCCAAAGCCACAAGTGCTAACCCCTGACAAAAAGGATAAATTGTGTGTGTATGCTTAGTGTTTCATTAGCTGAGCTCAGAGCCTTGGAATCATAGCTGAGACGTGCTGTTCTGTTGAAGCTGCAGGGTAACTCTCATTATACCTGAACAATCCATGACTGCAACAGAGGTTTGTATAGGTATCAAAACTAGATGTTCTGATTCCCCGTCTCAAATGCTTGTGTTAATATTAACTCTTCAAAGTGCACAGCCGTCTGGAATGTCAGACTAACGCTTCCCCCTTTTGTGTCTGTGAACATTTGACTGTTCCTAACTAGAAGTACATAGATGTCCGGATGCTGTACCTTTCAAGCTCCAGAGTTTAAGCAAAACAGTGGAGAAGCAGGCACTGATTCCCAGTGGCTTTCTCCAGTGCTGCAAGAGAAAATTTAAAAATAGTTTTCTCTTTGTATACTCAGCATTTAGTTTCATTCCTTATTCTCCTCCATGCACAGCTGTAGAACTTGAAGCATATTGAGGAAAACCAGTTCCTTTTAAGTAACTTCCAAACCTGCATTTTAAAAGTGAAAAGAAAAATAAATCATTTAAATCTAATGATGAAAATGAAATGCTTGTATTAAGAATAAAGATACCTAACATAGGTACCTGTCATTGTGACTTGGTAGAAGACTAGAAGTTTTACCAGTTACAGCATCCATACGTCTATGTACTTCTAGTTAGGAATAGTCAAATGTTCACAGACACAAAAGGGGGAAGCTTCTGGCAGCTTCTCAGAGAAGCCCGCCATCCTTCTGTAGCCCCTCACTACTAAAACCTGGCCATGCAAAGCCAACATGTAAGTGCTGCCTTAGTGGAAAAAACTTGAACAAGGAAAACATGGGACTGTTACTGGGTGGGGTGGGTGGATTGGTGACTGCAGACACAGAGAAGTCTGAGGTACCTAGTGCCACCTTTGTCTTGCCCTCACCAGCAAGGTCTCCCAGGCCTCTGTGATTACTCCAAGGGTTGAAGGAGTGGAATTACTACCATTAGAGAGGGTTGAGTTGGGAGTTACTCAATCTCAACTCGTACAAGTCCATGGGACCCTATGGATGGTTTCCCAGGGTACTGTGAGCATTGGCTGATGTCTAAGGCAGTTGTATCTTTGATGGAGTTATCACTGGCATTCTATGAACATTAATACTTATGGTGACTCTGAGGACAGAATCTTTTTGAAAATTGAAGCAGGCGGATGTACATCTTAAAGCTTCTTCAGTTCTCCCTCTTCCTGCAGAGTTTCCAAATATGTAACATTATAAAGGTTCAGCAATGCAGTTGCTACAGACGTGAGTTGGCTTGGTGGTGCTGTTTTGTTACGGAGAACAGGAAAGCTGGTAAGGACCAAATGAAGAGTTTGGAGAAAATGAGCTCTGCAGTTGAAATTATATCTCAACATGTCAGTAACACACATATTGGTACTACTGCCTCATAGGTGGGACAGAAGGTTTTTACATGAAGACATATGTGCACTAAAGAGATAATGTAATGACCTTTCTGATGTGGCTCTGGCTTAAGGGGTTACTGCTCTCAGCTGTCTGATTCCCTTTGTCTGTGCACTGTTCCTTAACCCCTTTTTGTTGAACTGTCCACCTGTGTGATTTCTAAAGCAGAAACTAGTCTCTTAAAATGTCTTGTCTGTAAATATTTTTTTTTCAAAACCAGAATAATTTGTAAGTGCCTGCATTTATGGCTAAATGAAGCATCCCACTGTGGTGCAGATGGGGTATTAACATCCAGAAGGGGCAGAAGAAGTCAGGTCGGACTGAATGGTAGGTAGTAATTAAATATTTCTTAGCAAAAGAGCACACACATAATAGGAAAAATTTCTTCCGAAAGGAGTGTTCAGCCAGACAGTCTAGACCGGGAGTCTAGTGGTGGAGTCACCATTCTGGAGGTATTTAAAAGACATGTAAATGTGACACTTGGGGACATGGTTTAGTGGTGGACCTGGCAGTTCTACATTTACAGTTGGACTTGATGATTTTAGAGGTCTTTTCCAACCTAAACAGTTCTATGATTCTGTGATTCTGTGTGTAGCCTGTGTGGACCAACTGCATGTCACCTCAGGTTTCTTCCAGGACCCTGTCACTGAGTACTCTGGGACTTGTATCAGCTGAGCCACAGGCCTCCCTGTTAAATGAAATGCTTTCCACATCATTGCGAGGCAAATTATTGTGTATTAGAATGTTAAATGGTATTCCTTAAAGTTAAAATATTTTCCTGCATAAATTAATTATTTATGTGGAAATTATACCCAATGAATTGTGAAATACTAATTTCTTCTTGTTCCAGATGCTGTTCTGCTCTGTACTCAAACTACTATACCTTGATACTCTTCCTCTGTACTCTGAAACCAGTATCTTGGTCTAAAAGTCAGCATTAGAAATAAGTGACAATATAGAATATTACCTTCTCATAAAAAAAATAATTGCTGTGGCTAAAGGCAGGGTGGAGTTGACACAAATAATCTCTTAAACAAACTAAACATTCCTGGTATGCATGTGAGAGAAATATGCATTGGACAGAAATGGGTTATGTGTGTACAAATGCAGTGTGGCTTTTACTAGTATCACTTGTTCAGATGTGAGAGATTGTTTTGTTACTGCTTTCTCTCTTGTCTGACTTCCTGAAGATCTCAGAGCTAAAACGATTTTCAAAACTGGAAACAAAACAGACTTTATACCCTTTGGACTCTGCTAATTTCTGGGGTGTTTGCAGTAACTAAAGGAGTACAGAGTGTTAGTATTAGTGTGAAATACTAATTCATGTGTTGCCAGATTTGATGTACGTTTTAATCTACACAAGAGAAATACTGACACCTTATTGAATTGTAATATAAAGATTTTTATAATTGATTTTTTTAACTCTAATTCAGTATGGATGCTTTCACATTTAAAATGATTCTATACTCTGACATTGCTGTTTGTGCATTGCTAGATTATGTTA